TGCCTGACCACGCTGTGGATGCCAGATCTTGTCTTGAACCGTTCAAACCAACCTCTGCTTGCCTTGAAGACTTCTGGCTCGCCTGAGGTTCCTGGCTGTTCCCGGATGAGGTCAGCGTGCAAGGCCTTGGCCTTCTCACAAATGACGGCCTCAGACACTGTGTCCCCTGCACGCTGCTTCTCTTCTATCCAGATGAGCAGCAACTTCTCGACCTCCTCCAGAACAGCTGGGCGGTTCTTCACGATCCTGGTGACTCCCTTGGCTGCATCAGTCGCCAGGATCTTCTCCCTCATCTTCAGGATGGTCCCGATGGTTGATGGATTCCTCCCGTACTCCCTGGCGATGTCCGTCACACGCATTCCGCCGTCGTGCTTCCGGATGATCTCCTTCTTCATTTCCAGCGTCACCTTCTCCTTCTTCCTCTCACCGGCCACCGCAGCAGCAGTCTTCTTGGGTCCCATGGCAGCACAGCTCTTACCTTCGTAAACTCAGAAAAAGAAAAAAAAATCAGTGATGTGCTTCAAATCCAAAAAATTCAAAAGCACCCAGCCACCCACCACACAGAAATTAAAACCCAGAACCAAGTCCTTGAATCCCAAACACCCCAACCCAAAATCCAAAACCCCCCAAAAAAGTGGCACTGCCACTTTGTTGTATGTTAGGTAGGCGTGCCATCCAAACCTCGTATTCCAACCTTCTAAATCTAATATATCAGCCTTCTTCAAGAAGGTGGGGTTGTTTTAAATGGTTGTTAAATGTGTTACGTTGATTTAGATTTTGTATTTGTGGGCTGGAGTGTTGTTTCAGGGCTCTTGTATTGTTTATTAGTGTGCATACATTGGTCTTGTGGCTATTTTTAGTATGTTTTTATTATTTTAATTTATATTATGTTCTGATATTTTTATTATGAATTTTGTGCAGTGATTATTCTTATTATTTATTTTGTGCTTCATATACTTGGTGTTGTGAACCACCCTGAGATTCAAAATGAATAAAATCAACAATCAAAAACAACATCAACAAGAAACACAACAACAAAAAGGTTTCCTACCGCTGTGTACGGAGGGTCGTGAGGGCAGCACCACTCCTCTTGGTCGATCCTGATGGTGTTGATGTTCCTGGCGCTGGTCCAGACTGGATCCTGCGGAGAGCAGAAGATGGTATCTCTGCAGCACAACTCTGGTGTCCACGTTGCCTTGGCGCTACTCCGGATGTTCTGTCAGGAGGAGAAAGGGGCTCGTTGAGAAACGCCCCATCCAAACAGCCCACCAGATGTCTCAATAGCCCACCAGATGCCTCACTCACCTGGCATGCAGCTCAGGAAGTCCTGTGGGTAAGGTTCCCTGTGAACGCAGTGGAGCAGCCTCCTCAAAAAGCGCTGGACCCTGCCTTCCCTCCGATGTCTATAGGCCCGCTGCACGATGTTCAGGCAGCTCCTCCCTGTCTGCCTAAGCTCTTCTTCCTCGTGCTGCTGCATCTCTTCCAGCCCTGAGTGGCAAGGGAGAAAGGTTGAGCAAGGGGAGATGCACAGGAAAAGAGCCACCCATCAACAATATGAAAACAGCCGTCAGCTGTGTTTGTGTGTAAGAGAGAGCAGTGAAGTCACATTCCAATTCTCTTTGCATGTTCATCTTGTGGCACCTCTGCCTGAACATACATCTGAGAATTTGCCTTCCCCTGAAGACCTTTCTCAGCAGAAGCATCCCTCCCTGCCCTCCGTACGTCTCACTCACATGTTCCATAGGATGCCATGTCTTGATTGTGGATGAAACTGGCATCCCGGAAAGCCAGATGACCTAGAGAGAGAAAGAGGCAAGAAAAGGGACGTCATCTTGGTGCAAAGCAAGCGGAGACAGAGGCAGCTCGGCAGGAGGACAGGTATGCTCTAGAGGCCTCCACCCTCACGGAGCACTCAGAGCAAGATCTGGGCACAGATGGAGGCCTACCTAGCAGGTGGCCTGGGGACATGTCCATCCTCCCTGCCATTGTTACCAAGACGTTTCTGTCCCTCCCTACCAGGGAAGAACGTTGCTTGACTTACCCAGAAGCAGAGCTGCCACCCTGGAGACTGCTGGCAGACTGTTGGCAGACGGCTGCGTACATGATAAGGCAGCACTCCGAAGGATGCCCTTGCTGAAGGTCTTGCTCTGTGGGCAAAGACAAAGGAGAAGTGGCATCAGAGAGGCTTGAGAGCGCAGCAGAAGAGCCTTGCACTCCCAAAGACATGCCTTGGCAAAGCTGCCAACAAAGGCAGAGGGACCTTACCATATGCTTGGCAGCCTGGTGGAGAGCAAAGTGGAGGCTAAATTTGTTGGAACGAGCCCACCACTTGACTTCTGGGGCTAGATGGGAAAGAGCCCTCCTTGCGGCCTGCAACACAAGAAGAGAAGAGGGTTACAAATTGCGGTACATAGTCTCAGAAGCTCCTGAGAACAATCCCTCCCTCCTACTGCATAAGTCCACCTCTTTGGCCCTCACCTTGGCCACTTCAAGGTCCTCGTCTTCGAGGTGAATGAGGACCACAACCAGTTCGTGAATGGCTTCCTCTTCTGTTGTTGTAATGGGAAGTCTTTGGTCTCTCGCCCAGCCCCGAAGCAGCCCCAGATGTTCGATGGCTGATTCCCGGACGGAGGCTTCCTCCTATAGGCAGAAAATATCAGAGGTTGTGTTTCTCATCAGATCAGGAACACCCTCCTGAAGCCAGAACATCTCCGCTGCATGCCAGTCTAAACCCCACCCTTCCTCTTCCAAAGCATTCCTCCTCCATTGGGTGTGGTGTCATGTTTCCCCTCATACTCACATGGGCAGCCAGGCCGCAGTAGGTTGCCGCCAGCATCTCCAGGTCTTTCTCTCCCAGCTCCCTGGAATGGTAGGCTTGGTCTACCAGCTCTATCAATTCTGGGAGGACATCAGCTTCTACATCAGAGAGGGAATCCCTCAGGAAGGAAGGGTCCTACACAAAAGAGAGAATCTTTTCAAAGGTCTGAAAGGCCTCACGCCTTTTAGCACAGGCCCTTCAGTATTGTGCCAGCAAAAGAGTGCTGGGCCATGATTAGAATCAAGATCTGTACCCCCCCCCCTCCTCTGAGCATCACTTGCCATGTCAGAGTCCAGAAGCAGGGATATCCCTCTGACACTGAGCTTCCGGACTTCCAGGCAGTCGTGTTCCAGCCAGTTGAGGAGCTGCTCCAGTGTATCTTCACAGGGATAGACCCCCAGACGGCAGCTGAGCAGCTAAAGAGGCCCAAAGAGAAAGAAACCCTTCAGGGATAAGAGGCTGAGGCAGGTTCTCCTTTTACCCACCATTTGCAATTCTGCACAGAGCAAACCCACTGAAGTGAATGGACCAAAGTTTGCCATGTACATCAAATCCAATGGGTCTACTCTGAGGAGCACTAAAACAGGCAACAGTCCTTAGGCTCAAAGTAGCCCAACACTCGGCAGAAACCAAGCCAGGGCCTCCTTGCTGCACCCATTTCCGCCCGTGTCAGTCCCCCTCACCTCAATGTAGATAGCTGCCGCGACTTGTGGCATCCCAGGAAATTCCTGGTCCTCGAGAGCAGCGATGATGCTTTCCACCATGGGAGAGATCCACCAGCGTTGTTTTCCGACGGCTCTGAAATGGAGAAGGAGATCTTGGTAAGGAAGGGAAAGACACCGCAGGAAGCAAACGGGCACAGTCCGATCCCGTGCCTTCAGCTCCGTTTGCCAGACCACTGGGGAAGGTCACCGCGTTCTTCCTCTTACCTCACCATGGCAGACAACCCCTGGCTGAAAGTCTCCCGGCAGAAAAGTTGGTCAACGATGGCCGCCTCCACTTGCTCTCCAGTGGTGCCAAGAAGGAGGTGCAGAACTTCCTTAGCCCCTCTGGAACCAAAGCAAGGCCAGTTTTACCAGGAGGGTCATTGGCACACACTCACATTCCTTCCCCAGCAGCCGCCTGAAGGAGAGCCTCCCTTGGAAAACCAAGCTGGACTGGAAACCCCCCGAGGCTGAAGGGGAAAGGACTCCATTGGTCCCTTTGCAACACACTACTCACCCAAGGAATTCCTGATAGTAGTGGAAGTTGACAACCATCCCCAGGAGAGCGATCAGCAGCTGTGGGAAGTTCTGGCGCACAGCTGCCTTGTAGTCCTCCATCCTGAGGATGGCGTGCCACAGGCTGGTGAGATGTTGCTGGAAGAGAGAGGGGTGCAAGTCACTTTCTCTGCTTTTCTGCAGAATACAGGAACCCCTCGATATTACCCTGGGAAGAAGGAAGCCAGAAAGCAGGTGGTTGGTCCTTACCACTTGGGTGGCAGATTCCGCCAAGGGGCTTTGGTAAATCTGCTCGGCCATGAGATTGAGCAGTTGTTCTGGATCGGCCGATGGTAAAACCTCCTTCCATACTCTCTCGCAGTCTCTGTGAATGCAAAAACAAGAGCAATGGTCAGATTCAAGTCTTCTGCTTGCTGCCATGCTCCAGAGAGAGGAAATGGCAGCAAGGGCTTTCTGAGCAAGCCCTGCAGCTTGCCAACCTCCCCCTTAGCCCAGTAGAACCTGGAGGGCTCCATACCCGAAGGGAAACTGGAGGAGATATTGCACCACTTGGTCCAGGTGGTGGTGCGCCAAGATGGAGAACGCGAAGACGGCCATGTTCCTGCCTTGCACTGTAGGCCCCTGGGCGATCTTATAGAAGGCCTCCAGCAGCACCTCCACCTGTCAGAGAAAAGGAGAGGGTTGCTTGGAGAGTACAAGGAAGCGGGGCTGTCTCCATCCCTCATTGAAAGAGGGACCCTTGACCTGTGCCACCACAGCCTCTTCCTTCCAAGGTACCACTCAGGGTCCTGGGGAGTATTGGTTGCCTCCCCTACACCAAAGCGGAGAATCTTCTTCTCTCCTACCTTTGAAGACGCCTTACCTTCACTTTTGTGCCGCCAAACTGCTTGATGAAATCTTGCAGCAGGTGGGAGATGTCCAAGGGGTCGAAGCTGCTCTCAAGAACCAGGTCTCTGGCCAGGAAGCACATGGCCTCCAAGAGCTGCGCCGCAGGGAGAAAGGCGCCAAAGACCTGAAGCGAGAGAGGAAGGTCAGAGATGCCCACAGGGCAGGGCTGGGGAGCAGAAAGCCCAGGTGCTGCCTCTGCGGAACCCAGAACATGTGGCTTGAGAGACAGCGACTTACCCTGACAAGAGAGTAACAGTTATTCACGAACAGCCCAGGAACCGGTCCTCCGGTGGATTCGAGGACCTGCTCAGCTTCGATGATGAGCATTTGGTTCCTTAACGTTCCTGCCAGTGTCTCTGCAAAGGAAAGCCAAAGGGTTAGTTTGGGCCTTGCTCACCCCACCCCATGCTGGGATGCATTCTTCCAGTCTTACCTTCGTTGTGCCGCAGGATGGGCAGAAGATGGCAGAGAGCCTCTGCTGCCCACTGCCTGCTCTCCGGGTCCGGATCCAATGCACAAAGGCAGGAAATCGCCACCAGTTGGCCATAGGAGCATGCATGAATCACTGCCGATGGCTGAGAAGAAACCCAGAGAAGGGACTGATCACCATTTTTCCTATAACATTTTTATTCCAAACATTCCAAAACATTTAGCATCCTAAACCTAAACCCTCTTTTCCTAATGTTTGCTTTTTTTCTTCTTTTCTCAGCCACTTTACTCACTATGGCCCAGCTCTGTTCTCCAAATTGAGTATGTGCTGGGATGCCTGATCGTCCCTTGGGCACCTTGCAGGATGGGCCTAGAAGCAGCAGCCTGAAGGCCTTGACAGCCCTGCATGGTTGCAATGCTTCCCTTCAGTAAAGCCACTTCTGAGCTGGAGAGGAGGTGGGGTTGTGGGCTTCACGCCCTCCCCCCACGTACTCGGGGCTGGCTTGCAGCCCCCCCCCCCCGTGAGAGCAGGGAATCCTCGGGCGTGTCATCTCCCTTGCCAGCCAATCCCCCAGCGCCCCAGCTGCTCCGGTTTTCCCACCCTCCCACCCTTTAGGTTTGGCTCTTTGACATTGCTATGGACTTCGGTTGGTCTCCGTCAAGGGGCCTGGTAGGAATTTTTTCCACTTGGCAAATTGGCACCAGCCTTTTGGCTTTTTGCCTACCTCGTAGCAAATCGTCACAACTTCCTCGGCATTGGCGGTTAGGCATTGGTAAGGGTATTGTTATGCAGGTGAGTGGGGGGGGAGGAAGCGCCATCACCTTCCCCCATATCGAAGGGTAGTCCGGTAAAGGATTCCGTGGGGCGTTGCCCTGTCCGAAGCCTATGGAGGTGTGGGCCTAAGGCATGCCCCCGAGCGGTGACTCCGGGGGAGCTCCTAGTTGATGTACATCAGCAGGACTCCCCCTACTGGTGGTTAACCCTTGCCGGTCTTCTAGCAATCAGGCTGAAGCCGGTTAGTCGATAGGACCAATGCCTAAGCCAATACCACTCAATTCCTGTAATCAATAAAGTTGTGGCCTAATTTTGCCCATTAACCTAAAATACTGGTGTCCTGCGTCTTTATTTCCGTGGGGGAGGCGGGAACTCGCCACGCAACTCACATGTTCCTGGATCTTCTGCAGGAAGGCGCAAAGATCTCGGAGCGCCTTCCTTCGGATCATCCCACTCTTTATTGTTGCGACGAAATCCGTAAGTCTGTTGTTCAGCTGGTCCCTGCTGCCGCTTTCAGGAGGAAGATCAGCCGCATCCAGAGAAGCTGTGGTTGGGATGCTGAGGGGAGACAGGAGTAGCACTTTTGTCAAAAGGGTTTATTGCCTCCCATCCTTCAAAGACCCCAAGCACCACCACCATAGAAATGGACCGGGGTTTTTTTTAAAAGCAATTGATTATGGGGGAGGGGATTAGCACAGGATTACCTTGGAGGAAGATCCTCCCCATCTTCCAGGCCGATTTCCGATATTTGATCTTCATCAAAATCAATTCCCTGCCCATGAGAAAAGAGAAAAGAGAAACAGGAACATCAGAATGTGAAGAATGGATCAGACCCATTCATGTTTTTGTGTTCATCAGGAAAGCACAGACGAGGTAGGTTGGGAAACAAACTGAAAATCTCTGGCCTCCATTTCCTTAGAGACCTTATTCATCCTTCTATTCATTGAAGCCTTCGGTTAAGAGTTTGGGTGTAATCCTTGACACCTCCCTTTCCATGGAGACGCAGGTTACAATAGCCAAGGTGACATTTTTCCACCTTCGCCTCATCAAGCAGTTGGTCCCTTACATTTCCCGCCCCAACCTGGCCACAGTGATCCATGCAATGGTCACCTCCAGGCTTGACTACTGTAATTCGCTCTACGTGGGGCTGCCCTTGAATCTGTCCCAGAAACTCCAGCGGGTGCAGAATGCTGCAGCGAGGCTCCTCACGGGGTCTCTGCCATGGGAGCATATTCACCCAGCGCTTTTCCAGCTGCACTGGCTCCCGGTGGAGTACAGGGTCAGATTTAAGGTGCTAATCTTGACCTTTAAAGCCCTTCACAGCCTAGGACCCTCGTACCTATGGGACCGCCTCTCCTGGTATGCCCCACGGAGAGCCTCAAGGTCCATAAATAGCAACACCCTAGAGGTCCCGAGCCCTAAGGAAGTTAGATTAGCCTCAACCAGAGCCAGGGCCTTCTCAACACTGGCTCCGGCCTGGTGGAACGCTCTGTCTCATGAGACCAGGGCCCTGCAGGATCTGATTTCTTTCCGCAGGGTCTGTAAGACAGAGTTGTTCCACCTGACCTTTGGCTTAGAATCAGTTTGATTCCCTCCCCCTCTATTTCCTTTTCCCTCCCGTGAAGAGGCTGCATCCTAATGTTTTAATGTTGTATCTTAATCTTTTAAATTGTATTTTAATCAACATTTTTTTATTATTGGTTGTTAGCCACCCTGAGCCCAGTCTTGGCTGGGGAGGGCGGGGTATAAATAAATTTTATTATTATTATTATTAGTAAAGGAGCCCCTTTACTACATGGTGGCAGCGGTGGGATGGAACTTCCCTGCAGAAAGGCACTTTGATTTTAAATTGGCACAAATCTTTTGTGTACTAAGGCGTTTTATTTTGGGGGGATAGAGATAGTCAGGAATTATGGAAGCCGGGGCTCCCCAGGAATACACTTTGCGAACTGTGGACGAATGGGGTCCGGGTGGAGAAGGCAGTTCCCTTCCTTCGGAGACAACCCCCCCCAACCTCCAAGTCCCAGAGTGGAATCCGCCTCCTGCTTTTCGGGAGATCCCGAGTCGGAGAGAGAGCTGGTGGATGCCAGCGAATTAAGAACTGTTTGGAAGGGTGGGCAAGAGTCCTGCAACTTGGAGAGAGAGAGGGGCACGCCAGTTAACCACCCCTTGTCACCTTGTGAGGAAGTGGAAGCTGGGATGGCCTCCACACGTCCTAGAGGGAACTATCTTGTTTATGCAGAGCCTAAAGAGATGGAGTTTTCAGAGGGCGATGCGGTTGAGTGGGTGCAAAACCATTCTTATGGGGCAGAGAGTCAGCTGGATGGCTTATGAGTATCAAGATCTGCCGCAGCAGCTGCAAGAAGTGTCTGTGGGAGACTACCGTCGAGAGTGTCCATCGTGCGACATTCGCTGAACGGTGAGACGGCGTTCCCCCACCCCAGGACGGGTCTACTCGCCAGTAAGAGCTTGGGAAACTGGTGGAGCGGTGCGATGGTACGCGGCGGAGAAGGAGGAGGAATTTCTCCCTGGACCCTCGCGTGTATACGCAGCGGCGGAACACCTGCGTCCGGAGGGATGAGCGTCTCGACATCCTGTTCCAAGGTATGACTACAATCACGAGGAGCCACGAGAAGAAAATGGCAGACAGTCTCCTCCGGGGCTAACTTTGAGCAACCTTAACTGGGGGGCATTTCCGAAATATCAGCCCCCCACTGATGTTCTGAGTTATCTGACTCTTTTTGAAGTAACCTGCCGAGATATGGGGGTGTCCCTGAAAATGTACATGCCAATTTTGCGCTCCCTAATTTGTGGAGACCTAGCCGAATTGATGGGCCATCTCCCCTCATCCCAAATCCATGACTATGAGCGCTTTAAAAAATTAGTCATGCAAAGGCATGGACTTCATCCTGAGAACTATCGGAGGGCTTTCTGAAAAGGGGATAAGTCTTGTCCCTCAGACAGCATTGCTGTGTATTCTGCGAAAATGGCCCCTGGCCATGATGTGTGATTTGACAGTGAGTTTGGGGTGGCCCAATGTAAAAAGCGTGAAGATCCATGAGGATCCGTGGTTCAGAACCACGTTTTTGGGCCATGGAGTGGCCAGGAAGCCATGGATCCATAATTTTTGTGGTGGATGCTGTGCCCATGCCCAAGATGTTTGATCTGATGGTGACTTTGGGCTGATCCAGTGCAAAAATCATGAGGATCCATGAGGATCCATGCTTCGGTACCACGTTTTTGGGCCACAGTATGGCCAGGCAGGTGTGGATCCGAGTTTTTTGTGGTGCAGGCTGTGAACCTGGCTATGATATGTGATTTGACAGTGAGTTTTGGTTGGCCCAATGCAAAAAGAGTGAGGATCCATGAGGATCTGTGATTCAAACCACGTTTTTGGGCCATGGAGTGGCCAGGAAGCCGTAGATCTCAGTTTTTTGTGTTGCAGGCTGTGCCCCTGGCCATGATGTGTGATTTGACAGTGATTTAGGTGTGGCCTAATGCAAAAAGCGTGAGGATCCATGAGGATCCGTGCTTCGAAACCACGTTTTTGGGCCACAATATGGCCAGGAAGCCGTGGATCAGTGATTTTTGTGGTAGATGCTGTGCCCCTGGTCATGATGTTTGATCTGATAGTGACTTTGGGCTGGTCTTTTGCAAAAATCATGAGGATCCATGGTTCAGAACCACGTTTTTGGGCCACGGTATGGCCAGGCAGGCGTGGATCCGAGTTTTTTGTGGTGTTGGCTGTGCCCCTGGACATGATATGTACCGTAAATTTCGCTCTATAACACGCAGAATTTTTCTCCTAAAAAGTAAGGTGAAATGTCTGTGCGTGTTATTGAGCGAATGTGTGGTCCCTGGAGCTGACTCTCCGGAGCTAAGGGGCAAAATAGGCAAAAATAAGGCAAAAATAAGATCGGGCGGCGGGCGGGCGGAGGGAAGGCGGAAGCTGTTGCTTTCCTGCATTCTGCCTCAGGGTCTTACTGCCCACCCGCTTCTGTTGCTGCGTTTGCTCAAACTCAACAAAGAGCAGGGAATCCCCTGCCCTCCTGGCAAGCAGAGGGTTAAGGAAATGATCGAGTCCTTCTAATTCTTTCCTAGTCACACTGCGTGCAGGCTCCAGCCCACCACCTCCTCCTCTCCGTGCTCTAGGGACTCGCAGGCAGCCGAAAAACATGCAAGTGGGAGTGGGAGAGAGAGAGAGAGAGAGAGAGGGGGGGGGGCTGGCTTGGGTGGGGTGGAGGGGACTTTTGCTTTACAATGGTAGGTTTCTCATTTC